GGAGGGCGAGGCCCGGCCCCGCCTACCTAATTGCGGAGAAACTCCCTCGGGGGTTGGCGCCGGGTAGGAGGCTGTTCTCTCTCCTAGTTAAACGTCTGTAAAATGGGGGTCTCGAGTTTATTGGCCAGTTCACGGGCACGTGTTAAGTATTCGTTAAACACTTCTTGATTATTTAGGAAGACGTTAGGATGAGCTGTATGGGGCAGGGGTTTTTGTAAACTGTTGATTCCCCGGTGCCTAACGATGCCTGGCACCTCATGGACACTCAGTAATTAATGGTAGAAAAAAGTGCACCAATGTTGGTGGCCGGCCTACATCTTACGTAGATGATGATGGTGATGAGTGTTTGCTGAGTACCTGCCGTGAGCCACCTGGTGCTGTTCTAGCTGCTCTGCATGACATTTTCCAGCTGAGGTTTATGGAGGTTAAGTAACTTGCTCAAGGCCTCCCCAGCTACCAAATGGAAGAGAGAGCATTAGAACTCAGTTCTGTCTGATTCCAGAGCCCGAGCTCTTAACCACCATGTGCCAGGCACCTTGCATATGATGATTCATTTAATTCTGGCAACACTGTGAGGTAAAGAAGGCTAGCCCTGTTGTATATAGATGAGGACTTGGAAGATCGGAGGGCAAGTTATATGCCCAAGGTCACATAGTAAGTAATGAGGTTGGGATTTGAACTGGATCTGCTGACTGCACCATTTAATTTGCTTCCCAAAGGTAAAAGAGTTAGGTAGAGCATCACACCTGTACGGACACACAGTGTGAAGCCCCTGTGCTGGGCAGAAATACAAAAAGCAGCTTCTGCCTGAAAGACCAGGAAGCTCACAGTGTTACAGTTGGCAGGTCTTCAGTTCCAGTCTCCTCATGCTATAGGTGGGGAAACTGAGGCTCGTGCGTGTGACATGACTTGCCTGGCAGGGCCAGTACCTGAATGCGGGCCCCCCCCCAAGTGCCAGTTGAGTGCGTGTCCCGCAACAGCTCACTGCCTCTAAGGCTAGTGACCTTGAGGACAGGAGCCATGTCTTTTGTATCTCTTTAGACCTCAGTGCTCTTTCTTATTTCTTAAGTGATTAGTAAATATCTATCCATTGAGTTGGTGAAAGAAACACAATCGCAAATTGGCCAAAAAACTCCCATATTCCTTCTGTATGTAGAGCTAGACATGACTGCGTGTAAATGTTATTGGATCCTCTCATCCCATTGTGCAGGGTTGAGTGGGACGGGTGTCCCCATTGCTCAGATTAGGAAACTGGGCCTCAGAGAGAAAGTAAAAGTAGCGATCTGGACTGACCTCACACTTCCTGGCTCCTAGCTATCACATAAGAGCTGAGAGTAAGGGCCTAAGCAGACTGTCTGGGAAGGAGCCTAGCTCTGCCCCTTACTAACTGTGTAACCTGGGGCAATTTTCTTAACCTTTCAGTGCTTCTGTATCAGCTACAAAATGAGACAATAATAGTGCTGAGTACCTAGGGTGCTTTGAAGATTAAATGAATGAACGCATGTAGAGTTACGCTCAGAACAATGTGGCAAATAAATACTCAATAAATGTACACTGCTTTTACTAGATCACATTTCCTGATGAGAATGAGGAGTGTCTCCATCTCAACTTTCCTTCTTGCCTTCTTTTCCCCTTAGTAGGTGAAATTTGTTTCGGGAGATATGAAGACTAGTAGTTGGGCTGTTACCTTTGGGTCTGATTTTCTATGGCCCCCAGGTACAGACCGCCTTGTAAGTGTGGGCCATATCTTGGTGTCTTTACTCCTTTGTGCTCAAAAGAGATTTGTGTTAGATGAAGGCCTATTTAAGGATCCCAGGTTACTGCCTCTGTGTTTCAGATCGCCTTAGCGAGCTTTTATGAGGATGGAGGGGACGAAGACATTGTGACCATTTCACAGGCAATCCCCGGTTCAGTGTCCAGAGGCACAGCTGCCAGGTAAGGGCCAACTTCAATTATTGCTACATGGTTGTGCTGTCAGCAGTGATGAGGCACTATTTCCTGACTTGACAGAGAGTTCAGACCTGGGGATGTGGACCAGTGGGTTTGAGTGAGAAGGTTAGACTGACTGGCGGGTAGTAGTTCCTTGCAAGACTCGTTCCTTTCCTGTAGAGATAGGCATGACACACTCCGGTAGAGGCTCTTACCTGAGTGTGGTTTATGGTCCAATCCTGAGGCAAAACCACAGAACCTACTTTTTAGATGTCTGAGGGTCTTTTATTTATGAAATGTGAGGAGTGGTCTCTCCTCTAGAATTTTTTAACTAGAAACCAAAGGACTTCCTTTGTGTCCTTTGAATATGATTAATGGTCCAATCCTGAGGGAAGCTACAGAACCTACTTTTAAGATGTTTGAGGGTCTTTTATTTATGAAATGTGAGGAGAGGACTCTCTTCCTCTTCGTGTTTTTAAGTAGATCCGAAAAGACTTCCTTTCGGGGGTGCTGTAGATGTAGAGGATTAGGCTAGATGGCTTTAGAAATGCTCTTTTGAAATTTGAGGATGCCCATTACCCTATTAAGAAGTCTTAGAGAAATTATACCTGTGTAACCCACCCTTTCCCAGATTGATTCTGGAGACCTTATTAGGTGAAACAGTGTTAACCTTTACGTTAACCATTTGCATCCCAGTCCCGGTCACCCGGGCTCCGAGGTTCCCGTGGCAGATCACTGCTGTGATCTGCAGAGTGGGACAGTGCTGGTCTTCCAGGAGACAGGCAGGACCTCTTCCTAAAAAGGTGTTTGAACTACAGCTCCCTTCTCTGCTTTAGCCTGATTTACGTCTACTCTCTTGTATATGTTTTCACCAGAAAAATTTATTTGGTTTTTAATTCAACCCCAGAATACAGATAGAGTGTTTCTTTGCTAGTGAAGTGGTAAACTGTGTTTCTCTCTAAGGGCATCTGAGCTTTAAATTACATTTCCTCCCTTTGGAGAAGGAAGAAGGAACAGTAACCCCAGATCTATTGTTTCCTTACCTTCTTTCCCTACCTCCCTTTGCCAGAGAAGAGAGGTAGTAGGCAAGTGAGGTTTTAATTATTCACAGGTGCAAATCTGCGAGGTGTCGCTGATGGCACATCAGGATGTTACTGCCTGGGACGTGGTTGTTAGGGTAAGGGCTCTTCTTGCAGCCGCTGGTAGAGACAGCTGATTGCCTGGGATGTGAGCCTTTCACAGCCACCCCAGGTTACTGTGGAGTGTTGGCATGTCAGAAATACAGAGAGGGAGAAGTTGAAACTTAGCCGCTGATGTCAGTCACATGTTCAATCCTCTCTTCTCTAGTAGTCCCAAAGCCCTATCAAGGCAGTGATTTATTAGAGCATGGGTCTAGGAGCCTGACTGCCTATGTTCAAATCCCAGCTTTGCCACTTTGAAGCTTTGTGACCTTGGGCAGGTTACTCAACATCCCAGTCCCCCGATTTTCCTCACCTGTCAAATGGGAATGATAGCAGGGCCTACCACATGGGAGATTAAATGAGTTCGTACTTGCAAAGCACTTAGAACACAGTACATGTTAGCTGCTGCTATTGTCAGTTTATTATCATTATTAGCATCCATTCTCATCTTCCCCATTCTTACGTATTCCCTGTCTCATTCCACAGCAAGTATGTATATTTAAAAATAGACATAAAAGTAAAAGAATTGAGGAAATAGGGAAGTTTAATGTTAAGACTGAGGGGAATAGAAGACTGAACACACATTCAGGCCTAAAGGCCTTGCTTTGTTGCTTTGGTTAAGCCTCAGACTTAGTACTGGGCTTAGGTAAAGCCAAGAAAAAGGGAGAAGGAGGGCACAGTTTGCTACATCGTGGTCCTTGTCCAGACGGGAAACGCTGACTGCATTCTCAGGAAAAGCCGAGCTTGTGCTAGCACCTCAGAGGAATTCTCTCTGGGGCCTGCCTTCCCCACATTTGACCTGACTGTTGCAGGACGCTTAGCCTGCTGCTGGGCTCTCCCCGTCCCCCATGGTCATCTTCTCAAAGGTCCTTTCGTGTCATCACTGCTGCCGTGGAACAACACTCCCTTAGTGAGTTCCTCCTTTGACTCTAGAACAGAAGTTCTTAGTGTGGAGGCCCTGAACCTCGAGGAGGAATCTGTGGAATGGATGTGAAAAGGTCCATAAATTACCTGAAATTGTAGGCAGAATTTTGTGTGTACGTTATATATTTTCTGGCAAAAAAATCCATAGGTTTTATTAGATTCTCAAAGGGCTATGGAACATAAAAAGGATAACCATTGCTGTAGGAGAAAGTCTCAACTCCTCAGTAATAACAGCTGTCATTTATCCAGCATTTACCAGGTGCCATGCACTGGATTAAGCCTTTACATATACATCTGTTTTAGTCCTCACTACAGCCCTGTGAGGTGGGTACTGTTGTTATCCCCATGTTACAGATGAATACGCTGAAGCTGGGCATCTTCCCAAGATCACACAGCTAGTGAAACAGGGATTTAAGTGCAGACCTGTTTCTGCTTCCAGCATTCAGCTCTCAGCCAGAATGATATACTGCCTTGCCTTGTGGACATTCAGGGTCCTCCAGAGTTTGCCCTGAACCTGCCATCCTATTCTTATCCCCTTTTCCTCATTTCTTAAATCTTTATTCCAACCAGACTGATTCCTTTGGTGTCTCAATTCTGCCTTATTTTTAGTTGTCCTGCTTTTGTTTGAGCCTTTCACCTGACTAGACTTGCCCTCTCTTTTGCTTTCTGCCTGTCCAGATCCCATGTGTCCTTCCAGGTTTAGTTCCATCCCCACATTTTCTTTTTTTTTTTTAATAATTTTATTTATTTATTTTCCTCCCCAAACCCCTAGTAGATAGTTGTATGTCATAGTTGCACATCCTTCTAGTCGCTGTATGTGGGATGCGGCCTTAGCATGGCCGGAGAAGTGGTACGTCGGTACGCACCCAGATCCGAACCTGGGCCACCAGCAGCGGAGCGCGCGCACCCAACCGCTAAGCCACCAGGCCGGCCCATCCTCACATTTTCTATTGAGCATGTTATCCCCAACCTGTAGGCAACACGCCACACTCCTTTTCCTCAGAACTCCAGCTACAGCTGTAATCATTCACTTCTTTGACCCATATCTGTGTCCTGGTTGGTGACATCTCTCCTATGTTGTCTTGAACTCTTCTCCTGATATTTAACTTAAGTTTTTCTCCATAAGTAAACTGTAAGTGGTAGGGCTAGTATTTCAGGAGTGCCTACCATCTGTCTAACTCTGCCAAATATTCTCACATATGTTCTCTTCTTATACTTGAACAACTTTGGAAGTAGATAGGGTACTCACCATTTCACAGGTCAGGATGCTGAGTCTTAGAAAGGTCGAGTAACTCAGAGCTGCTGTTATGGCAGATGCAAGCCCAAGTCTGTCTAAATCCAAAGCTGCTTCTGCCACATACTACCTCCTTGTCTAGCACCTCCCACCCCTGTACCTAGCACAGGGTCGAGCAAAAAGTAGTGGTTTCACCCTTTTTTGTCTTCTTCATCCAGCAAAACTATACTTTCTTAGAATTTCAGGGACTGCCATTGTCTGATTCTCTAAAACTATGCTATCCAGTATGGTAGCCACTAGCTTCATATGGCTATTTAAATTAGTTAAAATTAAATAAAACAAACATTGTTATTCATTCACACTGACCACATTTCAAATGCTGAGTAGCCACATGTGACTAGTAGCTTCCGTGTTGGACAGATACGCAGTTATAGCATGTCCATCACCACAGAAAATGTGATCTGACACAGGACTTTTGTGCCACTTCAGAGTACCTGGGAGATAGAGTTTTGATGCTGAAAAATTGAAATTTCTGAGACATTTTGCCAATTTGTAGAGGACATGTGACAAACTATTCTGAAATTGGTAACGTCCCCAGAACATCCATGCCATAAGGTAACTCTCAGAGCATTACACTAGAGCAGTGGTTCTCAAACTTGAGCGTGTATTAGAATTATTTGAAGGGCTCCTTAAAACCAGATTGCTGGGGGCTGGCCCCGTGGCTTGGCGGTTGAGTGTGCGCGCTGTGCTACTGGCGGCCCGGGTTCGAATCCCGGGCGCGCACTGACGCACCGCTTCTCCAGCCATGCTGAAGCTGCATCCCACATACAGCAACTAGAAGGATGTGCAACTATGACATACAGCTATCTACTGGGGCTTTGGGGGGGAAAAAAAAAGGAGGAGGATTCGCAATAGATGTTAGCTCAGAGCCGGTCTTCCTCAGCAAAAAGAGGAGGATTAGCACGGATATCAGCTCAGGGCTGATCTTCCTCACAAAAAAAAAAAAAAAAAAACAGATTGCTGGACGCTCCTTACAGAGTTTCTGATTCAAGAGGTCTAAGGCGGGACCTGAGGATTTGCATTGCTCACAGTTTCACAGGCAGTGCTGATGCTCCAGTCCAAGGACTGACAGTTTGAGAACCACTGCTCAGGAGTAGTATTTGAAATGTGCTACACCACGCATTGTTACCCCGACTATTCACAGAAAGCCAATGAGGTTGGTGCTGTGATTGTCCCCATTTTCACATGAGAAAATGAAGGCTTAGAGAACTTCATTAGCATGCCCAAGGTCCCAGGGTGAGAGGCTAAATTAAGATTGGAACCAGATGTGTAGACACCAGAGTCTGTGTCACATACTGTCAAAGTGGATGAGGAGGCTTCTGTCTGCTTCTGCTGTAGGCTAGTCAAGAAAAGTATTTATTAGTGTTTAAGAAAAAAGCAGAGTTGTATGGGTGTGGTGGAGAGGGCACACTAAAAATGGGTGTCAGTTTTGGAGAAAGAATCAAACTTATAGCCGGAGCAAGTAGTTTGTTCGAATAAGTGTACACGTGTATATCTGAAGGTGTTGAACAACAGAGAGATAGAGGACTCTTTCCATAGATGCTAGGCTGAGCAGCTGTAGAAAACTCCCCCTGGGAAGATTAATGAGTGGGATTAGCCTTTGAGGGCACTAGTACGGATCTTATCACTTGGATCCATGTCTCACAGAGTATCAAGGAATGCCCAGGACGTTGCTCTCAGCTGACTCAAGCAGAGAATGTATTTGCTACATCGGTTGGTCTTTGTCCTCTCATTTCTAGTTGATGGAACCTCAAAGCCTGATCTATCCTCTGACTGTCTCCTTGAAATAAATCTGTGTTCAAGACTGAACTGGAACTTTTTTCCTAATAAAGAACTCCTTCTCTGTCTAGCCTCACTAAACCTGTATTACCCTTTTCCCCCATGTTATAGAGAAGCTACTTTTTTCCCCTAAGAAATACTGAAAACGTTTTTATAAATTGTGTGTCTCATGATCCTTAAAATACTGAAATTGTTCCTTGTGGACAAGTCTAAACTAGGAAAAAAGTGGCAGTGGAAGACAATGTCAGAGGAGAGAGTTAACCCTTCTCACACCCATTTTTAGTGCGCCCTCTCCGCCACACCCATACAACCCTGCTTTTTTCCTAAACACTAATAAATACTTTTCTTGACTAGCCTACAGCAGAAGCAGACAGAAGCCTCCTCACCAACATGTTCATTTCATTTTTACTTCTTGACGACTTATCCTTCCTCTAATGTGTTATTCTCACTAGTCTTTCTGTGTGTGCATATGCTGTTTTCCTGTAATGCCCTGCTGGTCCCCTTTCCCTGCCAGCCCCACCAACCTTCATCCAACCGACTGACTGTCCACCAGTTCTTCAGCACTCAGTCCAAATGTTGTGTTTTTCTGGGAAGCCTTTCTTGATGTTTCCCCATCCCCACCCCCCACTCAGACCAAGAGGCTCTGTGCTCACACGTCCCATGTGCTTCCCTCTGTCACAGCCCCTATTGCGTAATATTTAATGGATGGTTTCCTGGCCAAAGGGCCACTAGCCTATAAGCAACTCAAGGGTAAGGACTGTGTCTGATCATCTTTATAGACCTAACATCCAATTCAGTGCCTGGCACACAGGCATTCCCTCAGTATTTAAAAATTAAATGATGAGAATAGCTATCCAGTAGTAAGTTTTTATGGTAGTGCAGACCCCATCCTGTTCCTTCACTCCCCCCAGGAGAGTTTAATTGGATTCTATTTTACTTCACAATAGTGCTTTTTAATTTATTCTCAGTCCTGTGTGACTTTGAAGAAATAAATGCCACATTATTTTGCATGTAAGTTTAGGTTAATCCTCTTCCACATAGGTCCTCTTCCTGCCCCACCCAAAAAATTTACGCCATGTCCTCAATTCCTTAGCAGCTGATGATGGGGGTTGCCTTTAACTCCCCTGAGATCATTTTGCTCCTTTCTGTGTCTCCAGTGATAATAGGGTGACATCTTTCAGAGACCTCATTCATGACCAAGACGAGGAAGAGGAGGAGGAGGAAGGCCAGAGGTGAGTCTTTGTTGCAGGCAGCACAATCCACAGGAAAGTCCATGATAATGTGTAAATCACAGTAATGTGTAAATCATCTAGAAGGACTTAGAAGGATAAATGTGCTTGGTTATCATTAGCCATCACTACTGTGGGCTATATCCCGGAAACTGTCTCCCACTCCCTCTAGCTTAGAAGTGATCCGTGTCCTTTGTTACTATTTTTTTTTTCTTTTGGGGTATTCTGGGTTTTTGTTCTTTTTTTTAATTATTAAAATAATATATATTTATTGAAGAATATTAGGGGAAGGGAAACAGATCACTAAGAAGGAAAAATGTCATTCATAATACTGCTGTAATACTGGTTACCAGAGGTAACCAGGTATCAGTATTTTTGGTGTATTTCTTTCCAGCTTTTCTTTTGAGTTGAAAAGGCAATATATCACATAACCAACAGAATATAAGGCTTAAATGTATGTTCCCCCAGTGTACACACACACACACTGTTTGTTTGTTTCTAACCTTTAGAAATGTTATAATAAAATTAGTATCCATTGTGGAAAATACAAAATAGTGTAATGAAAAAACATAACACACATCCACCCTTTGGTAACTATGGTTAATATTTTGGCATATTTTCATTCAGTCTTAGTTCTGTGTATAAATGTACTTTGTTTTATATTATATTTCACATGGTGAAGGTCAGATAGTTTTGTTTCTTGCTTTTGTTGGATTAATGCTGTATCTTAAACACTTCTTCATGTCATTAAGATTCTTCATAAGTGTTTTCAATGACTAATAATAATCCATCATACAAGATGTCCAGCATTCAGATTGTTACTAGTTTTTTACCACTGTAAATATCAGTGCTGTGAACATCTCTGTGTATTAATCTTTGACTACATTTCAGGTTATTTTCTTGGAATAGTTTCTGGAAATGAAAATGCCAGGTCAAGGGCATGAATATTTTTAAGGCACTTGATCACAGGCTCCGTTCGTAAGCCAAGGCTTTGAGATCCCTTAATAAAGACCTTACAGTCCATTGAGCAGAGGAGAACTTCCATCTCCCTGGAATGAACAAGAATAAACCGGTTGTAGCCTCGTTTCACAGGTTTTGGTTCTCCAAGGGATCTATCTTGGTCTGTCAAACATTCCTAAGGAACACTGTATAATAATCATTACGGAAATGCAGTTACCTCATCACGGTCACTCTTTGGGAACTGGACTGAGAAATTACGTGTGTTCTAGTCTCTGTTTTTATCTATATAGTGACCTTTACACTGCCTCAGAGCCTTCTTTTTAGATACACTCAAGGTTCAGGAATAAATGTTAGTTTCAGGGTTTTACACTCCTTGAGTGAAAGACAGTGTCATCAAGTATGTGAATGCCCAAGTCCTAAATGACCTCCTCCTTCCCCTATCCTGTCACGTCCTCCAGGCAATGTCCTTGGTTTATTTCACATCCCAATTACTTCCCTGATCCCTTAGCATTTTAGACTTGACGATACTGGTGCTGTTGTCCTTGCCAAGGCCTATAGTTTTGCCTTGCATTCTGTGGAATAGAGAATAGTTAGGAAATAGAAGGCAGAGACTAATTTTTATAGGTTCTCAATTCTCCCCCACTCAGAGACATGCTCTTGACTCAGCTGTGAATGGGGATGATAAGGAGGCAGCTAGCTAGGTTATGTGACTACTGGTTTTCAGACCCAGGTGAAAAAGTGCTGACTTGATCTTAAGCCATGCTCGGTCCATTACAAAGCCTGGTGTGAGTATCTTGGGGCTTGTATTTGACCTTCTCCACTACCCTTCTCAGTGCCCCCAGTGTATGTCGCAAGAATAGCAAGGTGAGGTGAGGCTTGGGTGAGCTCGCGGTGCTCTGTCACACGACCTTACATGTGTGCGTTACTCTGTGCTTGTTCTTTTGCATACATCCGCTGATTTGAACCTCACGGCCCTGACTTAAGGAGCAGGTAGGTAGGGCATGTGGTCCTTCCCTCCCATTTCAAAGACAAGGAAAGTACGATACAGGGCAATGCACTGGCTTGCCCAGGGTCACTCAGTGGCAGAGCCAACACTGGAGCCTAGCTGCTTATACTAACCACACCACTACCACCATTAACCCAGAGCTGCTAGTGGTAGCTGCTTCTGACTGTGACCATAGTTGTTTTCTCCTGGAGAGGTGCTGGCCACTGGATGGACAATTCCCAGTCTGGGACTCTCTCTGGAGCTGACATGCTGTTGTGCATGCCTGGAATGCCCTTTCCTGGTTTCTTCACCTGATAAATTCATCCTCATCTTCAAGACTCAGCCCAGAAGACACCCTTCTAGGAAGCCTTGACTGTCCCCTCCAGCTCAGTGTTTCCCAGAGCACCCCTACTGACCACGGCTGCTGCTCACACTGCAGTATGCCTGCCTGCCTCCTTACATGTGTCCCCAGCTAGATAGTAAGTTCCTTAAAGATGGGGATTGTACCCTTTGCTTCAGTGTGCCCAGCACCTAGCCCAGAGCCTGGCACGTGCTCTATTCATGTTTTCCAAGTGCGTTTGGTGTTAGATTTGTATTTTCTGCACAGGTTTTATGCCGGGGGCTCAGAGAGAAGTGGACAGCAGATTGTTGGCCCTCCCAGGAAGAAAAGTCCCAACGAGCTGGTAGATGATCTCTTTAAAGGTGCCAAGGAGCATGGAGCTGTAGCTGTGGAGCGAGTGACCAGGAGCCCTGGAGAGACCAGTAAACCGAGAGTGAGCATAGGGGACGTTGTCTGTGTCCACAGGACTCAGGTTCCAGAGTGGGGGAAGGAGGCTTTCCTCACCTCACCCCAGTAGGGACTGAATTTGTCTCATTTTGTTTTTCATTTGCTCGCTTGCTCTTGTATGGAGAAGAGCAATGCAGTTTCTCTCACCCTTTAACGTGAAATAAAGATTTGAGGCAGAGTTTTCAGACCTGTGGCCTATGGCCTGGATCAGGGCCTGCAGACATGCTTTATTTGGCCTAACAATATGACTTAGTGTTTTGCTTTATTTTTTTTTTTTTCGGTTGAATTTAATAACTGCCTGTTTTATGTAAAATCTGGATTTCTGTCTTCTTTGGGAAAATCAAAGTCTTTGGTGTTATCCTGCACCTAGACTCCTACATGGCTGTGGTTAACTAGAGCTTAGTAGCAGAGCTGTACCCGTTAGCCAAGCAGCACCCCCGCCCCGTTCCAGTTCTCACCCCAATCCTGGCCGTTTAATTCGTTTACCATGCTGCCTGGCCCTGTAGCTCTGAGTTTGATAGCCAGAGAAATTGCACCTAGTAGTTAACAAGCTTGAGATACATCATTGTATCTGAGTAACCCCATCACCATTGACCCACTTCTCAGGTGTTGATGAACTTGTCTTTTATAGCCATTTGCAGGGGGTGGCTACCGTCTTGGTGCAGCACCAGAGGAAGAGTCTGCCTACGTGGCAGGAGAAAGGAGGCGGCATTCCAGCCAAGATGTGAGTGTGCATCTACCTTCCTGGGGGAAGCTCACGGACTTGCCATTTTTCAGAAGGGATTGGTCACATGTTATGTGTGAACCAGCAGCCTGTGAAAGAGAAGAGGCTTACCTGAGAATCAAAGGCAGCTCTCATCTGGCTGGGCGAGGGGGCTCATGAGAAGGGGTGGGCAGAGGGAATGGACAAATGAAGGAGTTTTCTAAGCATTCCATGGATCTCAGGCAGAGGGATAGTGATTCCCGGGTTCTCTGGTGATGTGGACATAGCTGAAGAACTTGGTCTTCAGACCACCTGAGGAGGCCTGAAACACAGCTTTTTAAAAATTTTCCTTACCATTGTCCAGTCCTTTTTCCCTGTGTATAGGAGTCCCCCCCCCATAAGTGTAATCATACTATATAGACAATTATAAGTTTTTTTAATTTAATAATATGCCATAAACATTTTCATATAGCCACGTGACCATTAGTTTCTATAATGTATTTTTAATCATTTTGGGTTTTATTCCAAAATGAAGTCAAGCAAGAAGAAAATACAAATCTATCACCTGAGGCAGCAGCTGCTAATACGTTGGTTTGTAGCCTTCTAGACCCTTTTCTCTGAACATGTAGAGGGAGTTGTTAACAGAAATTGTAGGTATAAATTTTAGTGGCTGCAAAATAGTCCATGAGTAGATTTGCTGTGGTAGTTTTAGTTGAGCATGAGCTACGTGCCAAGCACACTGGCAGTCCTGCAGATAAGTCATCTGCTCAGAGCCACTTAGCTAGTGAGTGGCAGAATCAAGACCAGACCCAGGTCTGCTTCAATCAAAGCCCATGCTCTTAACCTGTGCCACATCACCTTCTTATTTTAGGCTGATAACTTATTTGGTTCATTGTTGATTGATTTCCTCATGCGTGTGTGTGTTTAATAATGACACAGTAAAATAGTAAAAACCTGCTAATTTGCAGGTTCACATTGGTGTGCTTGCCAGGTTCCTGACAGTGTATGGACTGCTTACCTCCTGTTGTCACAGGTTCATGTAGTGTTGAAGCTCTGGAAGAGTGGATTCAGCCTGGACAATGGCGAACTCAGAAGCTACCAAGACCCATCCAATGCACAGTTTCTGGAGTCCATCCGCCGAGGGTGAGCAGAAAAGCCGCCGCTGGGTTCCATGTTAGCGAGTGAGATGGCAGATAGGAAGAAGCTGATCCAAATGTTTATTGTTAAAGAAGTAAAAATGATTAAGCAGATTTAGCACTGTTGAGATACAGGTTCACAGATCTACTCCAAAAACCTTGTGTGTCCATTTTTTCATTCAGGCCTGGGGCAGAGCCAGGTGGCCAAATAAGATAACAGGTCTCTGCTATGACTTTGAGCAGGCAAGAGAGAAGGGGCAGGCAGACAGGTAGCCACTAAAGTAGCTGGCTCTGTGTGGAGGCCCAGCGATTTTCACAATTGGAACTGAGGAGTTTCTTCTCCTCTTGCACCCATCACTCATTCCCATCCTGCTCCGTGTGGACCCCAGCGTTGCCTTTTCTCCTTCAGGGAGGTGCCAGCAGAGCTGCGGAGGTTAGCTCATGGTGGACAGGTGAATTTGGACATGGAGGACCATCGGGACGAGGACTTTGTGAAGCCCAAGGGAGCCTTCAAAGCCTTCACTGGCGAGGGTCAGAAACTGGGCAGGTAAGGAGCAGCATGGGGGGAGTGGGACTGTCAGCCACTCCAGCCCCAGCAGACCCTATGCATCGCTCACTTTATCTAGCTCTTTACTGTTTACAGAGTACTTCAAGTTTTATTTTTACTGGAGAAAAGTATGGAGAACGAGTATGGAGAATGTGGGCTTTGGCGTTAACAGACCTGAGTGTAAATCTCTTCTTTGCCTTCTAGCCATATGACCTTGAGTGTATAGCCTCAGTTTGCTCAACTATAAAATGGGACTAATGCGAGTCCTTGTCTCTTCGATTGTTATTGGGAGGAGCACATAGAGCAATGCCCCACAGTGAACAGTCAGTGTCAGCAATGAGGGTAACACACTGCTCCTTTGACTTAGTAATCTAGGGTGTTCAGGGCAAGCGGGACCCCTTGATGGCTTAAAGCTGAAACAGACGCACATATTCGGGTCACCTAAAATGGGGGTTCAGAGGGAATAAGGAATCCTAGAGTCTCCTGCCCAGCCAGCCTCACAGTGGCATTGTTCAGGATTCAAGGAATCTCAAGGACGTTGTTGCCTTGTGAAGGCTGCTCCACTATTATGGCAGCTCTTATCTCTCCTTTGGCCCTGCTTGACACTCAGTCACTTCCTGTGACTTTTTCTGTTTTGTGTCCTCTGCCACTTCCTCTGTCTTACATTTAAACCCCCAATAGGATCTGGTTGGTTGATAGTCAGTGTTACCTCTGATAGGCACAGTTCTCCCACCAGACCCTTGACCAACCCGTAGGCAAGCTGCCTTCTCTCAGGGGCCCACTCAGCTTTGGCCATGGCTGTGGGGTCACTTGGTCGGTATTCAGAGGGAACTGCACACAAGAGGCACTCAGAACATAGTAACCCTCCCTGCCAGTGCAATCCTTATTTTACAGGAGGAAAACTGAGGCTTTTGGACTCTAAGGGTTACCATTCGGTGCATGACTGATATGTGGTGGAACCAGGCCTGGAACTCAGACCTTCTGATTGGCATTCCTTCCCACACTCCTGCACAGCAAAACACCCTTTCTGACCTAGATCTGGCAGCTCTTGAGCTAGGCACTGCCGTTGCTCACCTCACCACCATCTGCAGGGATCAGAGCGTGGTCTGCCAGCACACACAGGCACGGGGCTAGCTGGCCCTCTCCTGGAATCCCCTACCACCCTGTTGGCCATTCATGCCTCATTAGGAGCAAGAGTCATAGCTCAGGACAGTAGAGACTGATCGATTGTGATTCACCAGGACCAAAATAGTTAAGTCCACCCTGCTCTCATCATTTCATCTACCACATTGTGGCCTGTGGGTTAGACCAGGACAGCTGTTTTCAGAGTGGTCCATCTGTGGCTTCCCTGTCAGCTGTGGTAAGCTTTGTAGAGCACCAGATAATTTTTTCTATTATTATTATTATAATAGTGTTTATCTTTAAAACAGAAAATGCAGGTAAAGAATTAAAACTATTCATAACCCTAAGACCCAGATATATCCAGTTAGCATCTGGGAAGTATCCTTCTAGTCCTGTATGAATAGTGTGTGTGCGCGTCTGTCTGTGTGTGTGTGTAAAATGCTCTTTTATCACCTGCTATTTTGCCTAATCAATGTAGCTATCATTCTATATCAGTAAAGGTATTTCTATAATATTGTTTCTAATGCTGGCATTTTTAATCCTAATTTAACCAGTCACTGCTGTTAAACATTTAGGCAGCTGCCAGTATTAAGAACAACATTGCAGTGAATATCTCTAATTAAATCTTTACAGTCTTGGGCCAGAAGTAAAATTGCTGGCTCAAAAGGTCTTCATATTTTTAAGATGTTGTCAAATTGCCCTCCAAAAAGGTGGTATCAGTTTTTTTACCCACCAGCAATTATAAGGGCCCAGAACTCAGAACATTCATGATACTAACAGGAAGTGCTTCTGCTTTTGGAGAATCTAACTATATTATGTGTGCAAGACCCCATATCTCAAAAAATTAAAGTATTTTTTTTTTTAAAGATTTTATTTTTTTCCCCCCAAAGCCCCAGTAGATAGTTGTATGTCATAGCTGCACATCCCTCTAGTTGCTGTATGTGGGACTCGGCCCCAGGATGGACGGAGAAGTGGTGCCTCGATGCACACCCGGGATCCGAACCCGGGCCACCAGCATTGCAGCGCGCGCACTTAACCACCAAGCCACAGGGCCGGCCCCAAAATTAAAGTATTTTTAAGGAAGTCTGTTTTAGCAGGATGGGAGTAAATACTTTATTAGTGTGGAGGATGAACCCAAAAAGTTGAGACAGAGCTTAATCTCCAAACATCAGATGTGATGTTTGTCAGCTAAATAAATGTTCCTTGCCAATTCTACTTTTATTTTATTTCAGTTCTGGCTTTTTATGAAAAATGAGCTAAAAAAAGTTTTATACAGCTAAGCGAGATGGGATTTTATAGCTTTTCAGTCTAAACCAGTTGGACAGCTTTTTTAGTTTTTCCCATAAATTTTGCTGTGTTTTCCATTGTCATCTTGTCAACTAAAATGAGCAGAAGCCAAAAATTTAAGAAAATTTTTTCAGGTTTGCCTTGAAAATCAGTCAGTCCTGGGTTTTTTCCTTCCATTATCTGGAAAAATACTTTAAATGAATAGATTATTCTCAGTTCAAAAATTTGAGAAAATCCTTACAGTTGTATTAAACTTTTTTTTGTCATTTTAGGTTTTGCATGTTTGTGTGGATGGGAACTAATCTGAAGATTTGGAAAAGACTGCATTTATTTGATTTTGAGTGGCAAACAGTAAGAGTGCACTGGGCGGGGCAGGGTCACTGCTGCCAGGGATGAGTTTCACCTGCACACTGTGCTTTCTGTAGTGGTCATTTTTGTGGCAACCAAGCACCTTAGTGCCCAGTTTATTCCCACTACAAAGGAAATGAGCATTTGGTGATTCAGGCTCTCGACCTGAAGGAGACTCAATTTCCCTGTGACTCATTATGATATTTGCGGAGAGATGGTAAAGAAACTCGTCTTTTTATAGATGTCTAATCTGACTGTTTCTGCCCCTGGGTGAAGTGCCCTCACTGCTGCAGATAGCCCAGCCGCTCCCGTGAGAGGAATGGCTGAGGTGTTAGCAGTTCTCAAAAGCACCAGACAGAGGCTTGTGCCCTTGAACAGATGCATGTGGCTGTCCTGTGTGATGATGAGAGCAATTTGGGCCTGATGCTCTTTGAGTGTCTTGCTCCAAATAAGAATCACGAGGCCTAGTATTGAGGTTCCTCCTATCCCAATCTATGGCCTCCTTAAGGACAGCATAGGCTGGGAGTGCCTCAGGTGACTTTCTACTTACAGCCCGCAGATAGGCAGTAGCATCTCCAAGTGATTTGGGTCTAGAATTTAGCAAATAAAAGTGGGGCAGGACCTTGAAGAATGATAGTAGTCAGCTATGTGAGTGTTTTTCTGGGTTAGCTAAGCACTATACTAAGCATTTCACATGTTACTGCCTTTAATCCAGTTTTAATCCCCATTCTACAAACAAGGACTCTGAGCCTTGAAGAGGTCAGTTCGCACCCAAGGCCGCATCGCTGGTCAGTGCACACTGGCTTCCCTCCAGTCTCTGCTCTTATCTGCCACGCTGCATTGCATCCTGCATTTTCCAACATAGCCACATAGACATTTGTTTGTGCTTCTAGTATATGCTGGGTACGGTGCATTGTTTTTAGCTATTATCTCAACCATGGGAGATTTTATTTAACTCCCATTGTGTTGATGAGTAAACTATGTCTTAGGGTAATGTTCCTAAAATCCAGGTCTAGGTCTGCCTGACACCATGGCTTGGCAGGAAAGTGTGGTAGGTGTTAAGATCACAGGATCTAGAGCCAGACGGCTTGGATTGTATCCTGGCTTCACCTCAAACCAACACTGGGATCTTGGGCAAGTTGCTTAATCCCACTGTGCCTCAGTTTCCTCATCTGTAAAGTAGAGATTATGAATCCCTACCTCACAGGCTGTTGCGAGGATTAACTGAACTAATAATGTGTAAAGTACTCAGCCTCAGGCCCAGCTTGGTAATGGTTGCTTCATAAACATACACCATTTTCATCATGCCTCCCAAACTCACCTTATTTTTAGGGTGTGTAAGAGAAACAGTCAGAAGCAACACAGCCAAGTCCATGCATCATGCATTCCTTGACCTGCAAATGATGAGCACCAGCTCTGTGCAAGAGGCTATGCTGGGAAGAAAGCCAAAAACACCAGTTGCCTGGCCTATGTTGGACCTTCTGCACACATTATCTCATCTAACCCTCACAGCAGAACAGTTGCTTGTGTTACACATGGAGACACTAAAGCCCAGGGAATCTGAATAACTTGCTCAAGGCCACACCTCCTGTTTAGTATAGTGGTAGACCTGGGTCCAGATGGCAGGTTGTGCTGTTTCTCCAGCATCACAGTGACTTTCCTTAATAATAATGGCTGCCATCTAGTGCACTGCCTACCCTAAAGGTGTGGAGGTGGTGGGATAGTATTTCCATTTTACAGAAAAGGAAATTGAGAAGCCAAGGTGTTCAGTAACTTGCTGAGGGTCATACAGCTCATAAGTGAGGGGTATGTCAGATTTTCTGGGAGCAGGGGAGAAGTTTGAGAAAGGATTTTCAATATAAGTATTATTTTCCTAAAGTGAACCATAGAAAGTAAAGCTTTACAAAGTCCTGGCTGATAGGAATACACAGAAGGTAGAGGAAGAAAGCTTAATTTAAAACTGCTTTGCAACATGTGCTTCTGTTTTCTCATCTGTAAAATGGAGATAATACCCATCTCAGGATGGTTGTGATGATTCACTGAGGCCATGGATATAAAACTCCCCCCTAGACAGTGCGTGCATAGAGTAGGTGTAAATGTCATTCTTATTTTCCCTCCCACACCCACCCTTGCCTGAACTGTAGAGATGATGAATCCCTGATATCAGCTACTTTGGAATAACAGCGTCTTTCTCATTTTAGGCCTGACTGAAAATGTAAGAGTTCCCTTTCTGGCAGGCAGTAGCTTCAATGAGTCCTGTCTTGTCCTTGGAATTTTTATAAACAATTGAAGGACAGGCTTCCTACAATCTAATTAGAGAGTTGACCTAACGCCCATAAAACTAATGAACAAAACAGAGTAGATCTTAGACATTTACATGTGTAACATTAACTTTGCACTATTTCCAAACATCTCTTGAGGCCTGTGGTACTATTTATCTGTGTGTCCTGGTGCACATTTAAGTCCCACATGCTATGAGACTGATGCATAGAAGAAGCTCCTCATAGCTAGTAAGTGTGGCCAGCATTCTTTTCTGAGCCCCACTTGTAATTCTCTAAGCCCGTATTTTTCACATGTGCAGAAAAGAGTAAGTTCGCTTTTCATTTCTGCTTTGCTAGTTATATGCTCCGGGGCAATGTTTCCTAAACTGTATTCCATGAAATACTCTATCTGCAGGAGGTTAATAAGTGTAACATGAGAAAGGGATGATGTGGTGGTCAAATAAGTTTGCCTTAACTACTCGGTCTCTCAGGACCTTTAATATGCTAGTGGCCTGTGATGCTGCTGGTGTAACGTGGCATTTCCGAAACCTTCCTGGAGATATCTCAAGGGATTAGGGTCCCAGGGAAAGCACTTTCAGTTGAATTTGCTAAGAATACCTTTTTAGGTTTAAAAATCTGAGGGAAGGGAGAGATGTAGGTACTGATCTAATCAGAGTCTTTGGGAAGAAGCAAGCGAGCTCTCATCTAATGGCCTCTCTTTGCAAAGATCTAGGCCAGGGCATCTGCTAAGAGAAAGGCTGAGAGTGAGATGCATAGGTGGTTTAAAAGAGAAAGGCGAAGGCTCCAAACAGTGGTGGGGAATTGGGAGTTCTGTGTGCGTTTTGTCAGCCATCCTAAGTGCTTTATGTAATTCTCCCCTTTAATCGCCACAAAAACTCAGCAAGGCAGGTAGCCATAACCCTTGTTAGAGATCCTGTTACTACCGTTGTTGAAACTAAGTAAGCTTAAGTAACTTGCCCAATGCCACATAGCTAATGGGTGAATTCAAACCCTGGTTCATCTGATTCTAAGATCTGAGCTCTAAACACAGCAGCAGACACCATGTCCTGTTCATATTGAATAATTAATCCCTACAGTGCCGGGTGCTTAGCTGGCCTTCAGGAAATCTCGCCCCCCTTCTGATAGTTGACACACGAGTATGAAATACACACAAGTGAGGTTGCACCAGGGAATGCAGGCCTGAAAATTCCATCACAGGGAAAGAGTCTGGACTCATCCCATCAGCCACTGCCGGGCTGTGTCAAGCCTGCCTCCGCTGCAGAGTTGGAGTGCCCCCTCCCTGTTCTGCCCTCAGCCTCTCATTGAGGCTAAAACACCCTGGTCTCCCACCCCAGGCTGTCATGCATATTGCTTTCCTCCCTTCAAGCCCTGGTTCAGGTGAAGACACCGAGGAAGAAGGGGGTTGAGTAACGTGCCCATGGTGACTCAGGAGTGAAGGAACTAGCAGTAACTCAGGGTTTGAGGTGAACTCTGCTGGACCTGTAAGTTCCATGAGGGCAGAGATTCTGTCTTGGTCACTCCTTGTATCAGTAGCTCCAGACACAGTGCCTGGTGCAGCAAATGCTCAGTAAAAACCTGAGACAGGATTCCCCTCCTACTAGGGGTCTTGTTTCTGTTTGTGTGCTAATGCAATCCTCTCTCCTCAGCACTGCCCCCCAGGTGTTGAATACCAGCTCTCCAGCCCAACAGGCAGAAAATGAAGCCAAAGCCAGCTCCTCCATCTCAATCGACGAGTCACAGCCTACCACAAACATCCAAATACGGCTTGCCGACGGTGGGAGGCTGGTGCAGAAGTTTAACCACAGCCACAGGTACCTTGCATTGTCTGGCCTAGCTTATTCTAGGAGAGTCCCAGAGACTCCCACAGATGGGTGGGAAGCAGAGAGCTGTTCTTCTTCCTGAACACCAGCAGGCACTCTATGCTTCCCCTAAAGAAGGTGTGCAAGTCTGAAGCCTTCGGTTCTCATCTCCACTCTTCCAGTAAGTGTGGCCAGCGTCTGCTCACTTCACCATCCTGTGGGTCTCATTCCTCATCTGTAAAATTAGAGATTGATTCCTCAGGGGGGTTTAGCCAGCAGACTCTTTATTCAAAGGAGTCTCATGTTAAAGCCCAAGTGTAGAACAGATAAAATTTGAATGGCTGTGGTTGATGGAGGGGAGAGGGGATGCAGTGCTAACATCCCACCCACGGCTTCCTCCACCTCACTCCCCACAGGGGGCCTCTGAAAACCACTAGGCTATTAAGGTCTCCTCTAAATCTGGCCTTTGAGAATTCTAGAAAACCTGCTCTACTATCTCAGATCATCTGGGCTGGATCAAAGCAAACTCTGCCTCCCCCATTTTAAAGAAGGGGAAATTGAGGCACAAAGTGATGAAGAGATTAGTGGGGGAGGACTGTTACCAGTAAAGATATTTGGCAACTCCTTTTTCTACAATAGCAGTGTCTAAATGTCATCAGTCATAGGCCAACTAAACCAGAACCCACATGTGGAGCCCAGTGAATGGCTTGACAGTCCTTGAGTGTTGACAAGGTTCACATGTGGGGTAAGTTGTAAAACAACTAGTTTTACAACTGGGAGCACAAGGAGGCTTTGTCCAAACATTTCTTATTCATTAGGAACCCTTCACTGCACTTCAGGTGCTTGGTGTTTAAGGGGATTAACCCCTCTCACTGATCTCAGTTCTTTGCCTCAGTTTTATTTCACTCATTAACTCCAGCCTTCCAGCATGACTGCTGCTCACTCCCCAGGGTGGACAGACCATCCCAAGTGCTTACCAGCTGGGTAACCGAAGTCTGTTTGCCAGAAGTCTCAGGCTGCATCTTGGATGTCCAGACCCTTAGATGTGCCAAATTGTGGACTGCATAGATTTTAAGGGTTGGGGACGGAGAGAAACTTCTATGTAAGTGCTCTAACGGAGAAGGCTATCTGTTTCCAGGTGACTCCATTCTCCTGTGATCACCAGGTTCAGGAAACAGGGAGTTCCTGGAGAAGGGATTCCTGGGGCTTAAGAGTTGCTGACCTTCATTAATTCTTCTCACTAATAGTTTGCCTCCTGTGATGTACAAAAGAGACATAATATTTTCTGCCCTTTAAACTCATGGTCTACAAGAGGAGACAAACATTAATCAAATCATCCCAAAATTGATTACAGTACCATGGAAGCAAGATCAGGGGACAGGGACCGAGAGTTAGGGGAAGGCTGCCCTGACGAGGCAGCATTCGAGCTGAGGCCTGAGGTTTGGTCAGGATTACAGGAAAAGGATCAGGCAGAGGAGCCCCTAGAAAGAGGGACCCAAATGTAGGCAGGGAGCATGGCATGATGAAGAACTAAAAGGAAGGAGATAGAGAACAGGGGAAGGAGGGTGGTATAAAGTTAGGCAGGCCTTGGGACCACAGTAAGGAGGTTGGTGTTTCTCCCCAAGAAAATGGGAGCGACTGTGAAGGGTTTTCAGCAAAGGAATGACACGATCCTTTCCTACTGAGAGCTTTGGCTGCTCTGTGGAGAAGGTGGGACCAGGGGAGGGACCTTGGGGGATGTGGTGCAGCCTTCCGCAAGGTGGGGGTTTGTGGACAGCATAGAAGGGCACTGCTCACCCACCTCCCCACTCACTCCCACTCCACCAGGATTAGTGACATCCGACTCTTCATCGTGGACGCCCGGCCGGCCATGGCTGCTACCAGCTTTGTCCTCATGACTACCTTCCCAAACAAAGAGCTGGCCGACGAGAGCCAGACCCTGAAGGAAGCCAACCTGCTCAACGCCGTCATCGTGCAGCGGTTAACATAACCTCCCGGCCCGGCCGGCAGCCGCGCCTCCCTCCTGTGTCTCCCATGGCCAGCTGCCCCATGGGGACTGCCCCTCCCGCCCCCTCCTGCACACCCAGCAGTCCAGTGCCACGTCTCCTCCGTAGCTCTGGGTTCCTAGATCTCAGTTGGACATTTGTTTTCTCCTTAGTTGCATTTCCTGGGTTTTTGTGATGATCAATGGACTTTAAAGAAAAAAATAAAAACAACCAAAAAAATTGAAGGAATATCACCAGCATGTTGTACAGAACCTCTCTCACTGAAGCAGACTTTGATTGCTTTAAAATCATATTTATCTCCCTGGTGTGTGGGGAGAAGCCTGCCTTCTGCCCTCTCTGCATAAAAATTGCTTGTGGCACACAACTCCCATCCAGTAGCGTGTCCACCAGCCACCCTAAGATGACTAGTGGGGGATTTCCCCCTTTATAGGAAAGTGAGCAGGGGGGCTGGTAGAAAGAGGCTTTGCAGCCACTGGCTCCCACAAGAACAGATCTCTTGCCAGGATAAAAGCGGGCAGCAGCAAGACTCCCCTGAAGTGTGAGATAAGATCTAGATGCACACAACTGCTTCAGGTGAAAATAAAACTTCCCTGTGCTCCTTTCACTCGAATCCTGGGAAATGCAAGCTCCCCAGGCCTTGGCCAGTTGAGATTCTAACTAGACCTGCCTGCCCAGCCCTTTCCTCCCTCACCATCCAGGCTGCTCCCACCATGGTGATCCTCAGCTACTCTGTCATCACTTGGCTTACTCCACGTGCAGAGATCTGTCCCCAGGAGTTAGAAGGGACATCTCATTGGGAAACAGTTCGTGCCAGCCCAAATGAGTTCAGAGTCAGGTTATCTTGGCCTGAAAGAGAAACAGAATCAAGATGTCACTGAGTTCTTCGCTGTTTGCAAATCAACTGTTGGAGAAGGGGTGGGTTCCCTGTGCTGCCAGCACCTTTTACTGTTAGAGTTTGCAGGAGGCTTCTGCTGAATGGAGTTTGAGGGTGAGTATAATGTCAGTGCCTGGCTTCGAGGTGCAGCTTCGCTTCACAGTCATTCTCTGCCCTGCTGAGTTCTGACTTGTGGCAACTTAGGCAGTGGGCCCAACCTGGTAAAGACCCTCCCCCATAAGTGTGCTTCCTGTGCAAGTGGGAGAGGAGGATCGCCGGGGGCTTGGATGGAAGCCTTCCCACCTCCCCATTAAATGAACCACTGGCTTAGAATCAACACTCAGAATCTCCTGGTTTTGAATCATAACGTGCCTCAATCCTCTTCCCAAGCAGTCATCACCAATCACTTTCTCTTCCCTGCCTCATGCCCTGCGACAAGCCAGGAACCAACACTGCTTCTACCCAGAGCTGGAGAAGAGCTTAGGGTTGCAACCTGGACCCATCCTGAGAGAGGGACTTGGCTTGGTGCTTCCAGTCCCAAACTGGCAGGGGCCTGCCAGGGCTGAGCATCTGCCGCAGCTCGTCCTCCAGCAGGTGGAGGTAAACTGGAAACTAAGTGCAGGTGGGGAAAAACTTTGTAAATAATTGCCACATTGACCATTAAAAACCAGAATGAGGGCAATGGAGTTTTGTACTTTCTAATGGGTTGCTTTGAAGAAAACGCAGCAGCCATTGTAAGTGCTTCAATGCCTCACAAGGGTCCCATTTTACAGTGCAAAACCTGAAGCCCACCTCACACAGCTGGTAAGTGGTGAGGTGCCGGCTGTCTGCTTCCAATGCTGCTGGTCTTAACCACCATGCCGCTCTATATATACGCACTTCATACCCTAACCCCCTCCCACCCTCCTGCACGGTTCCTGCGTAGGTTCATTAGTACACACCGGAAGAGATCATACAAACACCACTTACAACCTGCATCATCTGGAAGAGTTTGCAAGGCCTCTGGATTCCCACCCGGCCCTGGGAGCGAGGCAGCCGATCCAACTTGCAGCTGCCACAGTCAGACCAGCCGGGTGTCTGGCCCAAGGTCAGAGGGATTGCCAGCCACAGAGCCAGCGATCACACTGGTCTGGATCCGGGCTGGATGAGGATGTTTTCAGCCCTAGTTTTCTGTTCTGCGGGGCCCAGATGGAAAGTTCCATCCACCCGGATAGGCTTTCACCGGTTTAAAAAGAAAGAAAAAAAGGATACTCGACAGCCACTGGTCCTGGGGCTTCTGAAGTCAGGGCCATTGTTCTCAGCTGAGGCATTTTGTTCATCTGGGAGGGCACTGGATCATCCCAAAAATTGGTTGGCAAGTAAGGGAACCTGGCATTAAATGGGCCAGGTCAAGGATATATTGCAACACATGGCACGTGTCCTGATAGATATGCAAAATTTCATCACTAAGTGAAAAACGCAAGTTGGCTCATGACGATACCCTTTCTAACAAATTCAGTTTAAACTAGTCTACTGTGGGACATGTGTATTGATTCTGTTTGGTCTTGTAAACCACACCATGCCAAACAACCCTGGAGGTACGGTTTGGGGTACATCTGGTTGCTCCCTCAGGAGATGGAAGAAAGGGAGGAGGTAGGCCTGTGGGGTGAGAGCTGGGCATGTCTTTATGGCTTTGGGTGGTGGTGTCAAAGTGCCCCCCAGAGCAGCAGCGCTCCTCTCCTTGCCCACCAGCAGTACAGAGTGTGCCCGCCCCCTCCAGGAACTCCTTAAAGCTGCCTTTGGGCTCCTTGGAGGGAAGCAGCCACTGCTTGCTGCTCCCTCTGTCCTAACCACTAGCACTTTCAGAGGGAACTGCTGTCGGGGCTTTTCCCTCCCAAGGCCAAATAAAAGGTCTTCCTTCTTTAAAATGGGTTTTGCTCCTCTGTCGGGCTGTAGCTGTGGCCTCCCATCCCCCCTCTTCCAGGTCCCCTCTCTTCTCACGCCAGGGCAGAGAAGCAGAAAACACATTGTTGACCTCTAGTGTCCACCCTGGGTCCTGGGCTGAGCAAGCTCCTGCGCTGTGTGACTGCCTCTCTCCCCAGTGACCTCACGCCTCACTTCACATGCAGTCCATCAGCAAGTCCTCTAGGCTTTGCCACAGATGGATCCCAAATCCAGCCTCTTGTCATCCCTCCCCTGCGATCTCCCGGGCCCAACCTCCATCATCTCTCTCAGTGACAACTGCGGTGACCTCTTTATTGGTCCCCTGCTTCTGCCCTTGCCCCATTAGTCTGTTCACACAGCCACCACATCCATCACTCCCTTTAAAGCCCTCAGGAGCTCCTCGTTAGCCCTGGAAACTTCTCACTGAGGCCTGAAGAGCCCCGCAGGGCCCAGCCTCTGCCCATCACTCTCTGTCCCTTTGTTCTGCTTTGTTTTCCTTCTTATCCTGTCTCCATCTGGTGCATTATACATTCGATTTCCCTATTTGTTTCCCTCACCCCTACACTAGATTATAAGCTCCATGAAGGCAGGGGTTTTTGTGTTCTTCACTCTTACATCCTGAGCTCTGGGTACAGTGCCTGACACATAGTAGGTCCTCAACAGATACCTGGTCGGATGAAATGGAGATAAAACCTCCCTATCTAAAGGATGAAGACTGATGGTCAGAGTGCCCCATGTGGTAGGTGCTTAGGTAACTGCCGTCCCTCCCTTCCTCCCAAAGCAGGTTCTCCTCCAGCCACAGGGGGGCATCATTCTAAAGGGCACCCTTTAGAATGCCAAAGGCACTTAGCAAAGGCACTAAGAAGGTGGAGCTAAAAACAGGAGTATATATGGGGAGAGGAAGAGCAGGGTGTGAAGGGAATCCCTCCCAGCACTGCTCCTGCCCTGCCTGGGCTGGACTAGGACCTTTATTCACGGCCAGTTACCCTCCCTATTGAGCACCTGAGACCCTCAATGCCAGGACCAGGTCTTTACTTGCTACTGATGATAGCAGTGCTGTGTTATGTGAGCACTACGTTTGTGTCAGGCCCTGTACATACCTTACCTCATGTAGTTTGACATCAACCCAAACATACTGTGGTTAGCCCATTTTATATAAGGAGGAAGACACTGCGGCTTAGCCTGGTAAAGGGATTTGCCTGAAGTCACACGTCAAGTAAAAGGCAGAACCAAGATTTGAATCCCCCACTGCCTGACTCCAAAGCCACAGCCCTTTACCACCACCCTCTTATTGCTGTGAAAAAGGCCCAAGGACAGAGGCAGGAGGGATGACTGGGACAGGTGGGAAGTGGGGCAGGGGAAAATCAGGGAGGGCTTCTCAGAAGAGGATACTCGAGCTGGGTTGTGGATGATCAAGGGTTGGTTCTTTGACAAAGAGGCAAAAAGTTTTTCCTTCCTCAAGAGACAAACCCAAAGGATGTGTGAAGGTGTGCAGCAGGCAGATCTGGCTTTGAACTTAGGTTCTGTCTTTTACTAGGTATGACCTTGGACAAGTCACCTAACCTTTGGGCTCTGAGAGGGAGCCACTGCCAAGGACAGCATCTTGTCCCCTACAGAGGGACAAAAAGCCCGCTCAGACTTGTGGGTCTGGAGACAGCCCATGAAACCAACACTGCACCCCAGAGGCCTGTGTTCAAGCCCTTCCTTCTCGACTCAGCTCTCTCTGCTCTGCAGTTTTCCTATCTGTGAAATGGGCTCTTGGCAGGATTAAAGGAATCCACACACATAATACTCTTAGCCAAGTGACCAGTATTGTTAGTAACACTGTTTCCTAAACGTTTGAGTTCCTGTGTCCCTGGATCAGCCAGTACTGTTGGTTTAGACAACCACACTCCAGCCTCCAGGGTGGATTTGGGACCCCTGAACTCCCCGCAGTTGATGGGGTTTATCAGAAGATTTCAGACTGATAAGGTAGCAGGTCAGCGTGGGTGACCCTTGGACCCTCTCTATTTTCTTCCCCAAATTCTGGGTGATTTTCACCCAGGAACCTAGAGATCGAGGCTGAAATCAGCTGAGACACAGAAGGCTCTTACCAGGTTTATCAATGATCCTTCGACTCCAAGGAGATGGGACAGCTTCCCCTCCAGCCAGGCCAGACAGGTCCCAAAATCCCCAGTGGTGGCCAGAATTCCAGGGAGACTTTGGCCATCTGAACACTCTCAGCTCACTAGCCAAATAACAGAGATCTGAAGTGGAGTGGGGAGAAGTCCCTGGGGGCAAGAGTTATCACAAGGGCCTGACAATGACCTAAACCAAGTCCTTGAAGCCCCAAGGGCACAGGTAGAAGTGACCAAGAAACAAGTGCTCCGGGCCCTGAGCTGGACCTGGATTTGATGCTTACCCCACCGCTTATTGGCTGTGTGTTGT